TTTTTTCGGTATCTCCTCTTTCTCGCCTTCTCTTTGCATAACGTTGTATTCTATCCAAGACGAATTCATATATTCTAATCTCGAATTCAATATTCATGTGGTAGCAACAGTATCTTATATATAAAAATTTATTTTTTGGTGTGACCTCATAACTTGAGAACGGCTGCACCGAATTTAACCAAATTTATGCAGAATATTCAGGCTATTATGCAGATGCTTTATGTGAAGTTTTCCCGAATTCGGAAAAGGGGGCGTGGCACCACCCATACTAACTAAAATATAAAAAAGTGCACGTTTTTGGTGTGCCTCATAACTTGAGAACGGCTTCACCAAATTGAACAAAATTTATACGGAATATTCGGGCTATCATGCAGATAGTTTATGTGAAGTTTTCCTGAATTCGGAAAAAAGGGGGTGGCACCTCTATTCTTATATATAAAAATAAGTGTTTTAGCTTATAACTTGAGAACAGCTTCACAGAATTCAAACGAATTTATATAGCATATTCGAGCCATGATGCAGATAGTTTATGTGAAGTTTGCGCAAAATTTGGATAAGGGGCATAGCACCTCTATCTTATATATAAAAATAAGTACACGTTTTTGGTGTGACTTCATAACATGAGATCGGCTTCACCGAATTCAACCACACTTATGCAGCATATTCGGGCTATCAAGCAGATGGTTTATGTAAAGTTTTCCCGAAATTTTTATGTTGTATATCTCTTGAAATATTAGTGGTAGAGTAACGGAAATTAGTATAGAGATATATGAAATAATTCCATAATCATGCAGAAAAATGGGCAGTATGGGCAAATTTTGATTATTTGGAAAAGCTGACGAACGACGCGCGCGAAAAGTTGACAGTTGGCCATCTTTCTGCGTTGTGTTGGCGTTGGCGTTGCCCAACTTTGGTTATGTGGAGACTTTCATATAAATGCTTGTATTCATAATCAGCTGTCGAAGCGACGCCAACGCCAACGCAACGCCAAAGTTGTATGTAAAAGGGCCTTAACTATAAAGGAAGCATCCAAGTAGTATAGTTATGCCGATGGTTTGCTGCTTGCACCGGTCCAGAACCGCTATACGGTTTGCTGGTGCTCTGCCGCAAGCTTTGCTGCTCCGCCAAAAGATGTCGCCGATCGTAATCCAAGTTCAGAACCCAGATAAAAGCCGCAAGATGTCGCTGGTGACAAATCTGAGTCCGGAACAGGAACCGATCACAGGGTGTTCCGCTGATGGAAATCCGAGAAATCCGATACCATTCAGAACCGGAATCGATCACAGGGTGTACCGTTGATGGAAAGCTGAGAAATCCGATACCATTCAGAACCGGAATCGATAACAGGGTGTACCGCTGATGGAAATCTAAGAAATCCGATACCAGGCGGTTTATATGTCGAAAATTAGTAAAGTGTGTTGGTATGCAGTCAGAAATATAAACAACCGTACATACGTACATATGTATATACATATATAGATGCTCCACCCCTAGAAAAGTGTGTTAATAATGTGTACATAGTTGATTGCTAAGTATTTAATATGTATGTGTATATATACATATATATGAATGGAAAGGTCTGTTGATGTTGATGATGAGAACAAATAAAATTTAATTTGAAATAAAAGAAGGTTTTATATTTACGTATTTATTTTGATAATAAGAATTTTAAACATAAATGTCCGCAATTATATGAATTATAGCTTTGCTGTTTATTATAGTTATATTTAATGTTTTTTCCTAAATACTTTATTATTTGCTTAGGAGGCTGTAAGTTTCCAAAGCTATCGAAGTAATCAATCTCATTATCGTTTTTCCAGTAAGCTACCCAATGCGTTCCTGGACCCTTTGAACTATCCAAATTTATTATTCCACATTCTCTCTTAAATGGTTTTCCCATTGAAATAGCTTCCATTGTATTATTATGACGTTTCGCCTCCAATAACTGCTCCTTTCCAGTTTTTATAGCATTGATTGTTTTAATAATTCCTGCTGTACCGCCAGATAGACTTCCAAGTGCTCCTAATGCTACGAATAAAGGCGTTAATGGGAGAAATCCTCCAGATTTAGGTAATGGTATTACACGTGGTGCTTTTATTATAGAATTTTTCCCTCTAAAAATATTATTTACAACCTTTCGTGAAATTTTTATTGCATCTTTTAAGTTATTACTTTTCTTTAAATTTTGTTTAGCACTTTTTAAAGCATGTTTGAAGAGCTGACAACCAGTTTTTCCTCCCACTTTCTTAGTTTTACTATAAATGTTCCCCATACCAAATTTCGTTTTTGTCTTCATTATATTTGTAACTAACCAAGCATTTGTTTTCTCACTAAGATTGCTATCCTTCGCTTTAACTCTTTCCCAAGCCTTCTCAGTTAATTTTTTATCAGCAATATGTCGGTTATGTAAATCTTTATTATATCATGTACTCAACAAGCAGTGTCTAGTAGATTAATCCCTCAATCTCCTCTTACTAAAAGTTTCCGTAGTTTCGTTCCAGGTTCACAAAATTGATAACTAGGCAAATGAAGTTCAATAGGAAGCTTATTAATTATATTGGTTATAAAACCTTTTCCAACGACTAACGATTTATAAATAAACCTTTTTTCATAAATAACTCTCATATAAAATAATATTATATTCAAATAAACGCTGAAGCTTTTTAATAAATTTATGGTTCTATATAATTAAATTTTAAATTTCTAAATACTAATTCAACAGTTAAGTTATATTCAAATACAGTATTATTATGTGATTTAGAATAAACTTCTATATCATATATCGCTTCCCTATTTGTTCTACTATAATACCTTAACTTAGTCTTAATATCTAAACCCCTTCTTTTATATTCATGTTGGTTTTGGTGTTGCTCCATAATATACTCTTCAATTTCAACGCCAACCACTGTTAAAATTTGATACTGTCATCCTCTTCATCCCATTTTTTGTTAAAAAAAGCATGGGCTGCTCTGATTGGGATGCCCAAAAAATGTAACCGGGGACCCTCATCTTCATCTTCAATATCTTCAAAGCACAACATCTCCAATTCAAAATCAAAGTTGTACTCTCCATGATGCTCGCTATTGAGGATTCGATTTACTCCAGGCATGATGTGTTTTAGTAGCTTTAAACAAAGTAATAATTTCTAATGTACAGTATTAGCTTATTTATACACATTTCATAACTATATAAAAAGCATTGAGGTGAACTGTTGATAAAGAACATATTTAAATATACATATACTTTAGTAATCTATTTTATGCTTCATAATATGATTCAATAAAAAATGTGGAAATAATCTTAAACTCAATGTTGCTGTCAAAGAATATATTTATTTTTTATTACCCTATTTAAATTTTATTATATGAGTCAAATTAATTACTAATATTATAAATAGCCTTGATCTTGATTTCATCATCATTGATTGCCTAATAAGTATAGTAACGCCAAGTGGACGATAACGAATCCCACATAAACATATAAAAAAATGCTTATAAAAGTATGTGTATATTTAAATGTTTTATTCATCTAGCATTATTCATTCATATATTGCTAACTTAGTGAGAAAAGTTCTTAAGCATACTTTTTTATGAAAACTCATATTTTGGTACAGAAAGCAGGAGATATTAATAATACATCGTTTCGAAAAAGATTAAGATACTTGTTTTTCTCGTTTATATTCATTGAAAGACAAATTTATTAAATTCAAAAGAGTCACCGAATGTCTAACAAATTCAAAAATAATACGAAATCTTTTAATCTTTCACATATGAATGGAAAAGTCTGCTGATTTTGATGATGAGAACAAAACAATTAATTTGAAATAAAATAAAGTTTTATAATTACTTATTTATTTTTTATTTATTATTAGATATTTAATGAAGAAATAGAGTTTCTTAATATTATTACATTTTTTCAACAGATATCATAGAATTTTTATGATATTTACAAGTATTTATATTTGTATTTTTAATATATAAATTCTTTAAATTTGGACAATTTAAATCATCTAAATTATATAAAATAATATCGTATCCGAATAAACGTTGAATCCATCTGATTTTCTCCAATCCTTTAC